TGGTGAACGCTACTGCTCCTGGGGAGCTCTCTGGGTTGAGTTCCTCTCCTTGCAGAGTTCTCCCTTTGGTTGCTTTCCCATGCTGCTGTTTGGGACTTGATGGCCATTCTGCTAGCTTTATCCTCGAGATCGGGAGGACCTTTCCAGCAGCCATCATCTCTTGCCGATCGTGTACAGTCCCCTTCGTGTGGCAGAAGGGTGTTCGGATGTTTCGTTTTGTGACTGTGCAGCTGGGGACGCCACTTACCACTGTTGGCTTCACAGTCCTGGCCTTTTGCGGCCTCCTGGGCACTTGTGCCGTGGTGTGGATTGATCGACTTGGTTCAGAGACTCGTTGAACTTCACACTTCCGACCTGGCGTCTGGGAACTTCATAACATTTTTGGTGTTGGCTTCTCTTTGCTTTGCATTTGCAAGGCCTTGTGCCTTGCAAGGGAGCCAATGTACTGTGGACCGGACGTGCACATCCTCTCTGAAACTTTTGCCACAAAGCCTCCTTTAGCAAGTTGAAACGCCTTCGGCTGACCTTTGGCCCCTGTGACTCCTATCATGTCCACACACAGTGATGGGGCACTGAGGCTTCTGGCTCTTGTCCTGGAGGTTCGTTTCATTTTTTCCTGACCTACCTGATAGCTTGCGTCCCTCGAAATGACCCGTGGAGTACTATGTCAGGATTTTTCAATGATTTTCCTTTGGGATCTTGTGATCTGATCGTGGAGCCTTGCTCTCAAGGTGACCTGGCTGGTTGCATGTCCTTCGGCCCTGAGCCGAGAAGTGTACTAACATGAAGACCATGAAGAAACCAGCTGGTGCCGTCCAAGAGGAACCACCAGAGCGCCTTCTGACCTGGGACATGGTGCTCCATTGCACCAACCCAGGCTGTGGGTCATGGGTCTTCCAAAGGAAGGTTGGCTTCCATGCCAGTTGTGCCATCTGTGGGCAGCCTTGGATCCAGAGCTTCAACCAAGGAGGTTCCATGCTCTGGAGGGACCTGCCCAAGAACCACATAGCCATGAAAGCCAAGAAAGCCAAGGAGATCCAGGAGACCAAGACGAAGGAGACCAAGCCCAATGCCTGAAGGCCATGAAGCCCATGAAGGCCATGAAGGTGATGAAGGCCATTGGGGCCATGAAGGTGATGAAGGCCATGAAGTCCAAGGCCATGAAGGCAGCCAACAAGTGATTGGCCTGTACCATAGACCATATCGGTTTTGCCAGCTAGTGCCATGGAATGGCTACACCACAGCCATAGGATGGCAGGCACCAGCCATGTACGGCCAGCACCATTGCCAGGCCTTGGCCTTGCAACCTGTGTGTGCCAAAAACATGTTGTCCTGGGGTGAACTGGGATGGGCAGGGGTGAAAGCCATCATGGCATCCCATGTTTTTTGGCATCCAAACCCTGATGTTGGATTGTTTTACCATTGTTTGTTTTACAACTGAATTCCACAAGCCATCCATGGCTTCCCATACCACGCCAAACCATTTATGGCATATGCAAATATCATGGGCTCAATATCATGGACTCAAAGCCATTGGCATTACCATAATTCCAGTGTTTCCAGACTTCATACCTGCAGACTGTTGACGCGGTGTTCTTGCATTTCCAAATTCATACCAGTTCCATTGTGAAATTCATAGCCATTCCAATGCTTAGACTCGCAGTCAGAGACCCATACCACCTTTACTGCAGCAAGGAGAACTGTTGGCACACCAGCAGCACAGAACCAGATGGGCAGTGCCAATGCAACTAATATGGATGCCAACTACCAGTACCATGCAGACAATTGGGCACCAGGGCCACCAACAGTCATGGACTTGACCAAGTACATTGCTATGACCCCACTTGGTGGTCACTCCAGTGTGCCACACCAGGTTGCCCATCATGGCTGTACTTGCCAAAGACCAGGGACCAGAACTACCAGAGGTGCTGCCAGTGTCAGAAGCCATGGCTTGAGAGTTCCTTCCAACCGGGACCCCATAAAACATGGGATCCCAACCAATAAGAGCCAGCATCTATGCCAGCCATGTTTTGAAAAATGTTGCGCAATAATAGTTAAGAATTAAAATAAATATTGCATTTTAATGTTATTTTTGTTTTAGTTGTTTGTGAAATAGATTGTTTTATTTAAGATAATGCAACCACTGTGGATTTAGCGTTTTATTCATATTATGTATAGTAAATATTTAACAGAATATTGTTTCTATATAATATTTTTTGCTTTGTTTTGCGAAATTGGTTTGGATTTGAATGTGCTCAAATTGTTTTGGAAGCTGTGTGAAATAAATTTCCAAGCTAGCTACATGTCAAATGATGTAGTTTGGTAAGCATTAAACACATAAAAGACAACAATTTGAACTGTTGAATCTGAACTTGTTCATTTTTGTTCAATAGCTGAACCTAGATCCAGCACCTTTTACATTTAGGGTCAGCCGCTGAACCTTTAAAGAAATATATGTGTTTCAAATATTTAGTTGTTGAATCCAAAATTTCAAGTTTGGACCTATTGGCTCAGTTGTTTAAATGTTTCTCCAAGCAACGAAAAATAACATAGATTTATATAGCTTAAACAAAAACAATTTTAATATTAAAAACACATAGTTTTGATTCCATTGAAAATTATTTTCAATTACTTTTTCAATTTTACAATGCAATTACGGTAAGTTCAGTCCTTTGGTTATATGTATATATGTTTTTTGTTCAATATCCAATTGCTCTAATATATGTAGTTGTTTGGTTTTGATTTGTAGAAGTAATTTTCATGTGAAAATATTATATTGTTAAATGTTTGAAATATTTAAATATATTTTGAAAGCCTGCATGGCATCACATGTTAACATTATAATTAAAGCCTATATGGCCACCCATACCATGTACTTTACAAAAAAAAAGCCTTTGTGGCATCCCATACCATGATATCTCAAAAGCCATACATTGCATTCCATGATTATAAAGAAACCAATATGTATTTTACTGATTCCATCTATGTTTGATATCATTGGTTTTAAATACTTTGGACTCCAAATTTTGGACAACTAATGCTATGACCATGGCATATGCACAATATAGACCAACCAACACTACTTGTTCATAATGTGACTATATTGTTTTGGTTCAAGCACCAGTAAGATTAGCCAGCTGGATGCAACCAAACACATTACTTAACATTTTGTGCCAGAATCCAGCCAGATTTGTCACCAACTTTTGGATGATATTTGTTATACCACCACTTTTTTGTTTGGTCAACCCTGACCACAGCCATGAATGATCCCATGGGTGATGATGATGCTCCATCCACAGATATGGACTCCTCCAGCAGCAGCTCCACCAATGTGACTAAGTCACCACCTCCCAGGAGCCCACCAAAGAGCCCAGATATCAATGCTCCACCAAAGAGCCCAGGCAGTGCCAAGAGTTGGCCATCAGCCATTGATGCTAAGGCTTGGAGGCCAAAAGAAATTGCAACCATGGCAGCTGAAGATGGATGGCCCAACCAGGCTGCCATGACTTTACAAGCCATTGGTGCTCCAAAAGCAACCTTTGCAGACATAGCCAGGGGTTCTCCAACTTCTCCAGCAGATGATGACCCCGCATCACCACCACCATATGTGGTTCCTGCCCCGAGACACCACCAAAGATGCTACCATTGGCAGCCAAGAAGTCTGCACAAGCACCACAGCACCAAGCTGAGTTACCAACTACCAGCAGTAAATCAGCCAAGTGGGTGCAAACACAGCTTGCACCAGTGCCAGCTGCACCTGTCCACCAGGCCAAGGCCAAGCAACCAGGCAGCCAAGCACCACCTCAGCCTGCTTCACAAGGAGGATACCCAGCTTCTCAAGCCAGCAGGCAAGCTAGAAAAGCAATGCCAATTGCATCTCCAGATGTTCCAAGGACACCAGCAAGTGCATCACATGCACCACAGCATTCTACACCAGCAAGTTCATCACATGCCAAGCAGCCACCACACTCACCAGCAAAAGCACCACAATCGCAGCCAAAAGCACCACAATCACAGCCAAAAGCACCACAAACACCACCAAAACAGCCAGCAAAGGCAAAGCGGACACCAAGTGGGCCATCCTCATGGAAGCAGGCCCAGCAACTCAAATATCCACCAACACCCAGAGCCACTGGATGGAAGAACAAATTGGCATTCTTCACCAAGTATTGGATTGCCCAAAACTATGATGTGACCACCAATGCCATTGTCCAGTTCACCAATGACCTAGAAAGGGCCCAAACCAGGATGGTAGGTATTTCCACCAAAGCCATGAATCCATCCATCTCCAAGGGGCTGGCAAGGCAATGCCTACATCCGGGTCCACCACTACAACCAACAGAACTTCGCCAAGGTCGATGAGATGATAGCCACATGGAGGGGAGATACCCACTTCAACCACCTTGTCATCAGCAGTGAAGCCATTGACCAAAGCCATGACAGGGACTTGCGCCAGCCAGACTGGTGGACCATGGGATAGTTTCACCATTCCCAGATGCCAGCATCCAGCAGGTTAAAAGGAGAGCTTGCTGCTTGCTGCCAAAAGCCTTTTGGCCTCCCATGTGCTGTCCATGTTTTTGCAATGAGCGGTCCAGCTGTGTGCTTGCACATTGCAACAAAAGCCAAGTGGCTTCCCATGTTGTGCATGTTGCTTCCACCTTAGCAAAGGCCTCTTGGCCTCTTGGCCTCCCATGTCCCTTTCATGTTTTCTTAAACCACTATATAGCTTATTTTTTCATCCCATATGTGGTTTGTTTATTTATGGTTCCCCATGTGCTTTGTTTCTCCTTGAATTGTATCTTCCATGTATCAAACATTTGGATACAATAGACCATATATAAAGCTTACACTTATGATACACAGGTAGCTTCATATGCCACATAGACATTTTGCCAACATTATACCTTTTCTTGTCAACAATCAGAAGCACATCATACCATTAGCTGTTTTGGCCAGCTGAACATTGCAGCATCATCCCTGTACCATTTGCTTGGATAGCCATGAGCAACCTATGGACCATTCCTGACGTCAAGGAAGAGTTGACCCATTTAGCTGCTTTGCATCAGAAGAGGCCAGCAAGTCCTGTGGTCCAAGGTATGGCTGCCACCTGGTGTGGAAAAGTCGAAGCTGTCACCAGCTGGACCAGCCATGGAATTTTGGAGTTGATCAACCATATTGACAGTTTGAGCCTTCCAGATGACATGAAAGCCAAGCTTCATGAGTGCTTGGAAAAGTTGACCATTGGCTCATCCCAAGCACTTAAGGTGATCAAGGCTGGCCAAGTGATGCGTAATTTGAAAGCCTACATGTCTCAGACAGATTGGGCAAAATTGGAAACCAATGCCACCCTTTATGATCACATGCATGTGATTCATGTGATTGCCAAGAGGCTTGCCACAATGGCAGTGGTTAGCTTGAGGGAAGATACCAAGGCCCAAGCTGTGGCTCTTTCCTTGTACTGCCAAAGCCAATTGGGTAAGCCAGAACCCAATGCCATGACCATCCACAATTGCTTGGCTGATTTCCAAGCTTTGCATAGCCAGCGCCTGGAGACAATGCATAGCCAAACACATGGGCCAAGGACATACCCCAGCAACCCTCAAGAGATGGGAACCACATGGATCCAGAAAGTGTATGGCACAGATTGCTTGCCAAACAAGCAAGCGCCAATGGCAGTTTGGATGAGCAAAGTTGCTTGCAGGCCCACCAACAAGATGCTCCAAACTGGCCAAGTGGCTAGAGGCACCACACCTGCCATGTGTGATGAGAAGACCAGCAAGGAACTTCTCCAGGAGTTGCTGCTAGCCAAACATGACAAATCTGCCCACGTGAATTTTGCAACAGGAGGCCCATGCTCCAGCCATAGCTTGGCTGAACAGAGGCCAGTAGCCACACCACAGGCTACTTTGTTTGCTGATCATGGACAGCCAGCCATTGCTGCCAGAAGCCAAAAAAAGCTCATGAGAATACACAATCCCTAGACAGCAGTGCCAAACCACCAAATTTGCAAGCCATGGAGGAGGACGTATTCAAACAGTTGCAGAAAGGCAAAGGCAAAGCCATGAAAAGGCCAGCTAGCAAAATGAACCTTGCTGCTGCAAGCCAAGCTACACCCAAGCAGAAAGCAGCATCACATGCCAAAGCCAAGCCTGCAGCCAAGACAAAGGCAAAGGCCAAGACAGTGCCAAAGGTAAAAGGCAAAGCAAGGTTGCCAGGCATGGGCCCAGGCTGCTCCAAGTGCAGAGGTGATGGATGTTCCACATGTGGCAGGCCAGGGTTTGCTGGCCAGATTTACCCAGGCAGAGCTGCATGGAAGGCACACTTTGGAAAGCCAAAGTAGCTTTCCAAACCAAATTTCATTGCTTTGCAGGAATGGGTGCCAACACAAGACAATCTTGTGAAACCCAGTGGAGCCAAAGCATTGGATTGAGCGCGGCCATGGAAAAAACTGCAGCTTTGTGTTTGTGCATGCCAAAAGCTTCTTGGCTACCCATGTGCCATGGTCTGTGTTACTTTGCTGCAAAGATTCAACAGCCTTGTGGCTTTCCATGGTCCATGCCTCAATGTGTCCGGATGCTTTTCCTCTGCAGAATTGACAGCCACGCTGCTATAGTACAATTCAACCCCATGATCCAACACAATGCAGCTTCACAATATATAAAAAACATAAAACCACTTGTTATAGTATATGAGTTGGATTTACCATCTTCCATTTTGAATTTACTTCTTCAATTTCATAACCATGGACAAAGCAGCCATGGATAAGAGAGCCATGGACTTTGAACCCATGCCCAGTTGTGCAGCCAAGAAGAGGGCCAAGTTGAGCCAGCTCCTGCAATGCAAGAGCAAACTACCAAACCATTCCCAAGCTGCTTTATAGCAGCCATCATGGAGGAAGTAAAGAAATCAGGAGCACCAGAGCTCCATAGCAGCAACTGTCAGAAAGAAGCCAGGAAAGCTTTACTCCAGGAATGCCATGGAGGTGCAATGGGCAGCCTCATCCAAGAGGCCAAGCTTCTTAGGGAAGATGGCAGCAGCACCACCATGTTTTATGCCAATTTCTTGGTATACCTTGCAGCAGTATACCACCATGGTGGGTCCATGTTCCAGTTGATTCAGCGGCAACACCTGTCAAACCCAAGTTCCATGGAGAAACCATAGGGCATCATCATCTATGGTGATGAGGTGGTCCCAGGAAATGTCTTGGGAAGGACTGGGCGCAAGGTCTGGTGCATCTATTGCACCATAGCTCAATTCCAAGACCACCTTGCCCAAGAAGATGCATGGTCCACCATCAGTGTGGAAAGGTACACTTTTGCTTCCACACTAGATGGTGGAGTGGCTCAAATGATGGGCCATGTGCTCCAATCCACCTTCTGCTCCACCATGGTTGACCCAAAACTAGACTAGGCTTCAAGCTCAAAGGCCCACATGGTGACACCAGTGGTGACATCACCATGTACTTGGATTTCCACATGGTTCTTGCAGATGGTGCAGCCCAAAAGTTGGTTTGGTCATCTAAAGGGGGTGCAGGTACCAAATTTCGTATGCTATGTGCCAATGTCCATGCTGCCAAAAAAAAACATGCAATGATGCTGACCCAGAAGAAGTGCATTGTGATGCCAAAAGGTATAGCCAACTCCAACTGGTGACAAACCAGCAGCTATTGGCAAGCTACCAGAGGCTCCATGTGAGGCATGGCACTCGCAACAAAAAGGAATTTGCGTTTTGGCAACAAGCCACTGGCCTGAGCTATTCCAAATTTGCTATCATGCTGAACCAGAACTTATTATCAAGAAATCTAGTGCAGCCAGTTTCCCAATTTTGGCACGATTGGATGCATGGAATCTTGCAAGGCACTGCACCTATAGTGCTCCACCATACACTCCAAGCCATTGCAGCAGAAGGTTTTGAAGTGTACCAGTATTTGGAAAAGTATTTCCAAGTGTGGCAATATCCTCAGCACCAAAAATGCCAATATATATGTCCATGTGCTTTTCCAAGCAAAGAGAAAATTGAGAAATCCAAGAAAGCCATGAAATTTAGTTGCACAGCATCCGAATGTTTGGCAATCTTTCCAACCATCAGGCATTTTGTGGAAAGTGTTCTTCAACCCTAAGGCCTTTGTCCAAAGGCATTGAAAGCTTTTTCTAGCAATGGCATTAGTCATTGACCAATGCCATGGTGGGATCCAATGGAAGGCCACTACCTTTGCTCACTGCTGTGGAAGAAGCCAACAAGGCCTTTCCAGAAGCATGGCCTAATGCCACCATGATTAAGAAATGGTATTGGCATTTGCATTTGCCTGACAGCTATGCCAGGTTTGGGCACTTACCATCTTGTTTTACATGTGAAAGGACCATTGCTTCCTTTGCCAGCAGGCTCCTCAAGACACAGAGTTTTGAGGCCCACCTCTTGGAGCAACTTCTGGCCAATGAAATTTGCGTTTTGAAAGAGCCCAATGTATTTCCAGCTGTGGCCCATTTGGTTAAGGAAAAGAAAGCCACTGCCAAAGAGATTGCAGCCATGGCACCTTTTATGAGCCAACAATGCAGCACAGCTAAAATCTCCAGTGTTGCAAAACTTTTCAGAGGTATCCAAATTCATTCTGGGGATGCCATCATGTATTCCAATGGTGATGGCCTATCCAGCTGGAAAGTTGCCCAGGACTTGTTCCATGCCTATGTGTTTGGCATGGCAACCACATTGGTAGAGATGTGGACCATTGAGGCCTTGGAGAAGCACCATGCCAAATGCCACACTGGAAGCTCACTGGCTTGATTCCCATCAGCAGTATTTTGTTTCCAGTGCCATACACCAAGGATCAAGACAAGGCAACAGCCACTGTGCTGCTACCTTACCAAATCTATTGCCAAGCTTGAAAAAATGCTGCTGCTCACATGTTCCATGAGTTTACAGCAAAAGCTTCTTAGCTACCCATGTTTTTTGTTTAAAAATAAAGCTTCTGAACATGAAAAGAATACATTTGTGTCCATGGTTTAAGTCAACATATATTAAATCTAAAAGCAGCTTTTCCACTAGAAATAACAATTTTCATCATGAAACAGAATGACACAAAAAGGCAAGCCGAAAAAAAAAAAGTTATACAATGTTAGTAACTAACATAAATTTCATAACTAGTTGTAACAAAACCAGGATTTCAAGTAGTTTGCTAAGTTAGCGCTGGTGTCTTTTTTCCTGCCTTGTGATCCTTGTGGAAGCCCTGGAGCCCCGCCGTCCGACACAGGAGCCCCGCGGCCGACTCAAGCGCCGCCGTCCGAAACAGCCCCTCGAAGGCCGACACAGAAGCCCCGCGGCCGACACAGACATGCCAGTTTCGACACACAGTCAACTAAGTTAGCGCTGGGATTTTTGTTTCCGTCTTTGTGGGCGCGCCGCCCTGCCGTCCGACACAGAAGTCCCGCGGCCGACTCAAGGGCCGCCCCGCGGCCGACACAGGAGCCGACACAGGAGCCCCGCGGCCAACTCAAGGGCCGCCGTCTGACACAGCCCCTCGGCGGCCGACACAGAAGCCCCGTGGCCGACACAGCCCCTTGTGGCGGCCGACGCAGAAGCCCCGCGGCTGCGAAGCCCTGGAGCCCCGCCGTCCGACACAGGAGCCCCGCGGCCGACTCAAGCGCCGCCGTCCGACACAGCCCCTCGGCGGCCGACACTAGAAGCCCCGCGGCCGACACAGACATGCCAGTTCCGACGCACAGACTTTAGTTTGCTAAGTTAGCGCTGGGATCTTTTTTCCGTCTTTGTGGAAGCCATGCGCGAGCCGCCCTGCCGTCCGACACAGAAGCCCTTTGGCCGACTCAAGTGCCGCAGTCCGACACAGCCCCTCCGCGGCCGACACGGCACTTGGCGCCGGCCGACAAGCACACCCAGCCGAGGCCGAGACGCCCACCCCGCTGGCCGACTCACCGCGGCCGACACAGACCCTGTCCATGCTATGACCATCATGCTACACTATCGACCCCCCCCTTGTACTTGCAGACTCAGATGATGCTACGGTAACAGTTTTTCTCTTGTTCTTGCTGTCTCAGATGATTCTACGCTATCCACTTGTCTCTTGTACTTGCTGTCTCGGATGATGCTACGCTAACAACTGTTCTCTTCTGCTTTTGCTTTCACAGATGATGCTACGCTAACGACTCTTCTCTTGTACTTGCTGTCTCAGATGATGCTGCATTGCCTTTGTCAAAGACAAATTCATCCCAGCAAGGCATGTGTAGATATAACTTGGCTCACTGAAAACGGACGCAGTTGAAGACGAAAACACCCGCGATCCCCTTTGCGGGTTGTTTTCAACATGTATTTTTGAAAAAATGAAGTTAAATTGATGGAAAACTTGATACACATCTTACACAAAACCAGAATATTAGATAATATTGGCATCAGAAGACAACGATGTAAAGATTTCATGTGCTCGGCACCATTTGGCACCACAGCGAACCGCACATTTTTTCAACAAAACCATTAATTCTGTACATCCAAACAAATTCATTGATGAACATGATCGAGCTCATTAAGAAGACGCTGAGGTGCGGGCAAACCCCCCGTCTACCCAACATGTTGTAACCCAACCTGCAACCCCCAATATCATCCCATTGTATCAATCCCATATATATCTCTTTACAAATTGTTGGTGGCTATTTAGCTTTGAGGTCGAGGCAGAGGCAACCGTAGATGCAGCACTGAAAGCAGCTGGGAGCCAAGTTCGACCGGCTCAACCTGACAATCGTTATTTGAGTGAAATAGTGGCCTGGCCAGGTTCCATCCGTTTCATCAACCTACCAAATGCCAGGTTCGCAGACAGTTTGCACAGGTTGAAGGGCAGACACTTTCACCGAAGTGGCCCACTGTATTAAGTGCACTTCCCTGGCCTTTCAGGCTCGGTACAAAAAATACTGTGTCTAGATGAAACGGACATTGTCAAGCATCATGACAAATAACAAATTTAATCAATTTCACACATTCTTACAGCCTGGTTTCCAGCAGTGGCAGAACATTCAGGCATAGGTCCATTCATCAGGATTGCAGTCTAGCAGATTGCTGAGCATCAAGTCTCATCATGAGTCACATTCTGTCAGCTGTTCTTGGCGAAAATGGTCGGAATATTTACCTCAACACATCAGCAAGGAGTTGGTTTCAGAAACACATCTTTGCTATGGCGGCCTATTTGCCGTGCTACAATGGACATGAGCTACAACACAAGGAACGTGGTGAATTAGTTTGCAAGTATATATAATTAAATATTTACACATGCATTTGACATCATTTGACTGCATAATTTTGGACAGGATATCAGGTTTGGGGATGGGCCTCAAAAGAGATATAATTATATCAATGCTACAATGTATACTGTGTATATTTATAATATATATATATTTGATTATATATGATGTGTAATACGATCATATGTATATATATATATTAGTTTTCTTTATTTATTTATTTACTTATTTATTTACTTCTTTATCTATTTATTTTTATGTTTATTTATTTATTTTTATTTAATTATTTTATTGTAGTTATATCGAGCGTAGCATCTGCAAGCGATTCCTTGTCTCATTTGATTGCACATTTGCAACGGCTGTCCGATGGCTCTGCGCAGGACTTCGATCTGAAGGAGCTCAAAGTAGGCACGTACGTTGAGCGATGTGAGTTGATCATTCTAGATGGATGAGGATGAAAATCGGATTCAAAAAGAACTTGGAATCGAATTTAAAGAAATTAAATTCGAATTTAATTCCAACGTGTCGGTTCTTCATTTGACCTTCAAGCAGGAATTAAATTCAAATTTAATTCTTGTCATGAACTGCATTGTCGGGAAAGTGGTGCGGACTTTTTTGGCCAGCAAAGCAAGCCAAGTGATTGTCCTAACCGATGCAAGTCTCTCTTACTGGATCCATCCGGTGCAGCCCACAATAATTTACATACGAACCTACGCGGGGGTCCGCTTTTCTGGCCGAACTCGGGCTTGCGAACGGAAATTTCAGACCCCCGATAATGCACATTGACAGCACAGAAACTCTTCTTGCACAGACATTTCACCCGTATACTTTTCACCCCGAGACTCTTCTTGCATATACTTTTCAACCATATACTTTCCATCCAGAGACTCTTCACCCAGAAAACATTCTTGCACATACTTTTCACTCATATACTTGCACAACAAGAGGCTCTTCTTGCAGATACTTTTCACCAATATACTTTTCATCCAGAGACTCTTCACCCAGAACCTCTTCTTGCAGGTACTTTTCACCCATATGCTTTTCACCCAGAGACTCTTCACCCAGAAACTCTTCTTGCACATACTTTTCACCAACATATTTTCACCCATAGACTCTTCACCCAGAAACTCTTCTTGCACAAACATTTCACCCGTACACTCTTCACCCAAAGACTCTTCACCCAGAAACTCTTCTTGCACAGACATTTCACCCATATACTTTTCACCCAGAGACTCTTCACCCAGAAACTTTCTTGCACATACTTTTCACCCACATACTTTTGACACTACAACTCTTCACCCAAAAACTCTTATTACACATACTTTTCAACCATATACTTTTCATCCACAGACTCTTCTCCCAGAAACCCTTCTTGCACATACTTTTCACCAATATACTTTTCATCCAGAGACTCTTCACCCAGAAACTCTTCGTGCACATACTTTTCACCCAGAGACTCTTCTTGCACATGCTTTTCACCAATACCCCTTTCACACAGAGACTCTTCACCCAGAGACTCTTCTCGTACAGACATTTCACCCATATACTCTTCATCCAGAGACTCTTCACCCAGAAACCTTTCTTGAACATACTTTTCACCAATATACTTTCCATCCAGAGACTCTTCACCCAGAAACTTTTCTTGCATAGATTTTTCACCCAGAGATTCTTCACCCAGACACTCTTCTTGCACATGCTTTTCACCAATACCCCTTTCACCCAGAGACTCTTCACCCAGAGACTCTTCTTGTACATACTTTTCACCCATATACTTTTCATCCAGAGACTTTTCACCCAGAAATTCTTCTTGCACATACTGTTCATCCATATACTTTTCACCCGGCCGTATACTTTTCACCCAGAGAGGCTTCAACCAGAAACTCTTCTTGCGCATACTTTTGACCCATTTATTTTTCATCCAGAGACTCTTCACCCAGAAACTCTTCTTGCACATACTTTTCACCCATTTACTTTTCACCCAGAGACTCTTCACCCAGAAACTCTTCTTGCACATGCTTTTCATCCAGAGACTCTTCACCCAGAAAACATTCTTGCACATACTTTTCACCCATATACTTTTCGGCCCATCTATCTGTCCATTGACTGAGCCCAGAAAACTCCAGAAAACCGGACCTAGGGTGATACGATACCCACCGTCACTGATTGCCGCCTGCTACATTACCCTGCAAGGCCATACTTGTCGCGATCCTAAAACACCACTAATATGCGCCATTTTTGACCCGTTTGTTGGCAAATACCCCCTTCAGACCCCAGCTTCCCGGCCGGCTTTCGTAATTAGGGAAGACAGATGGACCGACAAATGAAACGGACTAGTGGACACATCATACTGGCACGTCTGTCACTGAATCCAATTGGATCGCCAAATCAGAAAGTGTGGGTACCGATTTAAGACAACATGTTTTGACAGCATGTTAAATATTACGTTTCTTAGCACCTTTCCCTGGGGTGTGTTCAGTTTCTGAGTTGTAGGATGAGCTCCCACTTGAAGCGCAGTTCAAGTCTTTTTTTCAGCGTTGCAACGCCGTCACAGTTCTGCCATTCGCAAGCGAACCGGCTAGGCCTGCGGCAAGCATCTGACATGGAAGTCCTTATAATATGGTCATCAAGGCTAGAATATATTCAGGAAATTCATCTTCTATATGAATTGTACGGTCGATGTACCTCCAGAACAGATCATATAGAAAATAGTATGTAAAATGAACAGACGGGAAGATCAACATTTCCTCTTGTTTAGTGTAATCATGTAATCTTCAGAGTTTGACATGGTATGGTGGACCTTGCGGCTCATGTATGAGGAGGTGGTATGTATATACAGGTATGTATGCATGTATACCAAGATAGTCAGAAGGTTGTATATGTATATATATATATATGTGTGTGTGTGTCTCATTTTAACCATATATAACATATGGAATGATTTGTTCTGTTCAAACCGGAACCCTTGCATCCACAAACGTTTCTGTGAAGGAGGAAGCCCTGTGGAAAGAACCCATATAATATTGAGAAGGGGGAGCCCACTGGGAAACAACATCTAGGTTTACCGATCAAATGGAGGATAATGTCAAACATATCTTAAATGGGGGCTGCCCACTGAAAAAACAATGTAATTTTACGAATCAGATCGAAGATAATCAGCCAAACATTTTCTTCGACACTATGGGACCCTGGTTCTTGTTATTAAGGTATTGGGATCTCAATTGTAAACTCAGTAGAAGGGTGTGTATATATATATATGTGTACATCTTTTATTCAAGAGCACCCCCAACATCCGCCAGCATCGCCAATCCTCGTCTCCCCGAGGCCTTTCTCCACTAGGCATCAATATGCGGAGATGAAAGAACCTGATGAATTTTACGGGTCAAATAGAAGATATTCCAAGGATAATAAATGTGTAATCCCAACTCCCTGTAAAGAGTCTTAGACAGATAGATAGATTGATTGATTGAGCAAGATAGTTAGATAGCTTTTCACCCAGATAGCTAGATAGCTAGATAGATAGGTAACTTCCATTAAAGAACTCCTGCTGGCGTCTCACCATTCCCAACTCCCTGTAAAGAGTCTTAGACAGATAAATAGATAGATATAGATAGATAGATAGATAGATAGATAGAGTCTCCCGCGGGGGTCCGCAATTTCAGCTCCACCTACCGCCAAAATCTCAAAAGCGGACCCCCGTCCCCCGTATATGGGTGCACCAACCTGCCCGGAAAACAGCAATCAACCGATGCCTTCGAAAGTAGTCGCAGTCAGAGTGCTGTGCTTGATCTTCTTCTCACGAAGCCATCTTTGCGCACCCTTACGCAGCGTCTCTGTCTCCGACAAGGACTCCGTCGCAACATGCGCCCATGGCTTCCGTTTCCGACCACGGCGAGTTTCTTGGTCCGACATCTCTCGGCAACAACAAGTCAAAAAGAATGAACGAACAGGCACCAGAACACAGCTCATCCAAAATCCCGGTTGCCAACCATGCTACACCAATCCCATTCTACTAATCCCCTCAAAGGAATGAGATCCAACTCGAAACCAGGGGATTATATTCTTTTGGGATCTTTGAGGGAAGTACGGGGTACTTATGGAATGAAAAACCTCTGGTTCTCAACCAATATAGAAAAAGAATGAAGGATCCGGCACAAGAACACAGAAAAGCCACATACTAAAGGAATTAAATTTGAATTTAATTCCTTTAGTATGTGGCCAACAGTCCGGTAGCCAGAGAGGGGGATTAAATTCAGATTTAATTCCAATTGAATTTGATTTCCAGCCTTATTTCATTCTAGATGGGATAGATATGGACTCGATACCAGTAGATCACCCTCATATGTGATCACATGTGCAGGCAGTGATAGTAGGCAGTGCATCTCTTCGTAGCTACTGGACATGCTGCACATTCGAGCGAGGATATTGGGGGCAGAGAGAGAGAGAGAGAGAGAGGGCGGCCACAATGAAGACGTGCAGTAGATCTTCATTGCATCACCAGTTGGCAGTAGAGCCGCACGCTCATTGCCAGGTACACCAGTGATGCCTCATTTGACCTCGGTGCAATCCTTGGTCTGTTAGAAGATCCATTGACACAAATTGCATGATAGAAGACTTAGCAGTATCGGGCCTACAAGCTGGGCACTTAAAATCTAATCCTTAATCCTTAATCCTTGCGCCGGATTGCGGATTGTCGTTTTGCGGGTTGCTGCTCGTCAGTAGTTGTCAATGTAATGTTCCTGTGCTAGATACGCTTGTTTAGGAGGCACTCCGCAGTATTTTGTACACTACTTAGTACATTTTAATCAAAGGAAGTTTTGAAGTTTATACTTCCGAGTTACGGGCATTCACGAGTTGAGCTGGGCGTGAGATGATGTCAGTATGAGTGAAGATGAGAGTGAGCTGAGTTGAGGGTGAGATGTTCCCAGAGTGAGTTGAGATGAGGGTGAGATGATCTCAGCGTGAGTGAGGGTGAGAGTGAGCTGAGATGAGGGTGAGATGGTCTCAGTGTGAGTGGATCTGAGCGTGAGTCGGGACGAGAGTGAGATGATCTCAGAGTGCGATGAGATGAGAGGGAGTTGAGATGTTGGGGGTCAGATTATCTCAGAGTGAGTGAAGATGAGAGTGAGAGATCATCTAAGGATGCGATGATCTCGCACGAAAGCTTGGTCTTCACAACTTTAACTTGAAATGTGTGAGGGAAGTCTCGCACGAAAGCGTCATTTTCGCATCTTCAACTTTCAGTTTTTGAGGGAGGAGCTGAGAATAGGTGAGAGAAGCTCGGGTGACATGAGAGAAGATATGAACCTGGCTGTGATCAACTGAGAAGAGCTGAGAAAAGGAGAGAAGACATGAGTCAGAAACTTGAATTCAGAGTCTCCATGAGACGCCATCGCGTGTTGTTGCTTACAAGATATCACAACTATGCAGATTGTGCAAGTAAATCTGAGGTCTCTATTCCGCCTTCGCCAGGTTCTTTCCGCCCACCAAGCGAGGTCAGCTTTGCAGATCATACAGAGGGCGAAAAAGCAGGACTTTAGTTTAACCATGTTTAACCAAAGGATGGTGTAGAGGCACCAACTGTGCACTTGTCAGTCTCCTAAGTCTCATCTGACAAAGACTGATCTTTATTGATTCTGATTAGGGTTTGGGATCCCATCTGGTCTGGAATTTTCATATATACTGCTTTGAAAGCTTTTGGCGCCCTGTCGACTTGTCAGGACAGTGATGCACGTTTCGAACTGCTTGGGGAGACACTGCAACGCCTCATCTATCAGGTTGGGAATGGTTTGGATATTTCAATGATTAGAATCAGCAAAAGAACGCTTCGGAAACCTGTCCACTGATGGAATTCGGCTGAACCAGGTTGAAGGTGGTATCTTGTTCACTCGCAGACCCAAGCCCTACAGTGATGCATTTTTCAAATCCATTTTCCCTCTTCTGCCAGCCATCCGTCCAAGCCATGCCATTCACGAGGTGCAGCGTCAGGAAGACAGACAGCTTGCCCAGCACCAGCAGATTGTGAGGCAACCCCCCAAGCAGAACGTTTGAGGAAAAGCCCTCGGTCCTGGACCATAGACACTGGTATATCATGGTAAACAAGGACCATGACATGCACGAACATGCTACAACATGATAGGGGGGTTGTGGTGGGGTACATGTTGTGCTGTTGGAAACACCCTTGCATGACAGTACGAATGCTTGCCAGTGTATGGTCCCCATCAAAGTTAAGGACTTTTGGCTTCAAGTAGGTGTTAACTTTTTTGAGGTAGGTGTTTGTTTTGTGCCAAGCACTGGCACCACTTCAGAATCTTTTTGTATTACAGTCTCAGTCTGGTATCATGGCAAAATATATGTCAGATTGAATTGATTGTAGACTAAATGCCAGAGAAGGAGATGCCAGATGAATGTCAGAAAACTGGTTTTGTCATTGGAGATTTAAACTCTCTGTCGATAAAATCCAAAAGTCCAAACATAATAATAAGTTTGGGCTTGCAGTCGCTCGTGGCTGAATATGAGAAAGCAACGATCAGACATACCCCATTGGCATAAAGTGGTCAGCGCTAAGAGCGCTATTACTATTATAAAGTGGTCAGCGCTAAGAGCGCTATTATTATTATTACTGTTACTATGAAACTTCCACATGATTGTCAACAGCCAGCGCATCTGTCGAGTGAGTACTGAAGCGAAACAATACATATAAAAGCACATGTCTGAAAATCTCTTGACAATGATGCAAGAATGACTCTCAAGCTGGTTCCTTTTGTCGGCCACGATGTGCACTATGTCGACTATGTCGATAAGCAAAAGACCCAAGATTGGGACATCAACGCAATGTCCTGTCAGATGGTGCTTTCTTTCGAGAAGCAAAAATTGATAGCAAGGTTGTGTGGACAAAATGTTTTCGAGTGTCACCTATTTGGGGCAGCCATCTGCATATCAAAATCGTAGGCATTTTCAATGCTACCTGTGGTCCAAACTGCAATGTCATTGCTTATTGAGTTTGCAGCACTGACCTGCAGCAAGGCAAAGCTTTTTGGTTAAATGGATCATGGGCTTCAGCGGCTGCAGCCCCTTGACTGTCCAGCGCACATGCCAAATCAGACTTGCGCATTGCAAATCACAAAAAGTACCAGCTGTTTCGCGTGAGGCGATGTTGGTGAAGGATATAGTCTCTTCTTTGCCGGGTTTTTCTGCTCCTTCATCTGCTCCATCTCGTTTCGTCGGCGGCACAAAGCAAATTTTGTGGGTCAACTTGAAGTCAAACAATGTCTGGCCATCAGTTTTTTGCCCAGAAGGTGTAGCCTTGTGGTAGCAGACAGTAGCCTCAGGCTTGATTTTTCTTTGGTTGAATAGCACTTCTGAAATTGTCTGCACAGCACCGTTGAGGCAAACCAAGGCATCTGAGGAAGCAATGTGAAAAAGCAAAGCTTTCTCAGGTAGTGTGTCACCTTCCTTGAACAACTTGAACGATCCCCTGCCAAATCCAACCAAAGGCGACATTGCTTTGAGACTGAGCTCATGGGAGGTCTGGTTGACCAAATAGAGCTGGTGGTTGGTGCGGATCTGGAATCCAATGGTATCTTTTCCTCCAAGCTTCGTCTCAAATAGAAGCGTCTCTGCAATTTTGTCACAAGGAAGCAAGCATTCTGCAGGCACTTCCTCCACTCGACACCTTTTTGGGCTCGGTTCAGCCTCCGATGTTTTTTCTTCACTGTTTTGTCTCTTGTTGTTGGGTGAAGAATTGTCTGCATCTTCACTCACTGAATACTTTTCCAAAAATGCGTCAAGCCACTTGGAAAATTCATCGCCGAAATCTTCATCAGAACGCCACTTCAGCATCAAGTGCTTTGGCAGCACCAGACTTCGATCTTCACCTTCACCTTTCACAACAAGAAGATTGGTAATTGGAATTGCGGGAAGTGCATCCAGGAGGTCTGGGTTGACTTCTTTCTGAAATGGCTGAGCACCAGGAATTTGAAAGCCTTCCAGCTTCACTTTCTCCACTAACTCTTCGAGCAAAGTCGCGCGAAGCCATTCCAATTCTTTGGCCTTCTCTCCGACACCAATGTAGAACAAGCTGGTCCCAGCATTCAATTGGGTCCGGAGGTGGCAAAAAGCACCTGCAAAATCACCAACTCGGGGGAAGAGGCCACGATCAGCACAGCTGGAAATTTCTCCAGGTCAACTTGGTTGAAGGCCTTGCGAAAGACCTCTTCTGCAGCAGGACGGCCAAACTGACAATGCTTGGCTGCTCCAGAGATGTGATTGCTTGAAGTTGTGCTTGGGAGGCTGTCATCAGCCATGTCTTCCATTTCCTTCAAGTCCTTGGCGACCATTTGCTTGCAAGGATCAGTTCGCCCAGCCTTGCGAAGCTCCGACTGAAAGAAGGCATTTGTCTTTCCAAGGTCAACCACATGACCTGGGAAGGCCCAACGAGCAGGGTAAAGCAGAGGTCGGCTGTCTCTCTGATCGCATCTGTCAGAAAATAAGACGCTGAACTGATGGTCCAAGTTGTGCCCTCCTTGTGCCAGCAGCTGCATGCACGCATTTTCCTCCAGGAATGTTTTTCCTTTCTGGTACGAAAAGGTAGGTGCGAAAATGATTGCAGCCGAGTTGGTATTGTCGTGCAACGCCCACGCAAGGCAGTTGATGTGATCATTCTGCCGTCCAGCTGGAAACAGACAGGGTGCGGTCCAATTCATGAGGACCAAGGTAGGAACATATGCAGCTGCACCAGCTGTGTTTTGGTTGCGTAGCTTTCTCAAAATTTCCATGCGAAATGAGAGGACCTGTGGAACGATGCTATCACTTCCCTTGTTGACTCCTTCCCAGCACAGGAAGCGAACACAACCATCAAGATAGGCTTCCACTGATTCCACGATTTTCCTGTGTTCAGAAACGACATGTTCCTGCTTCGCATGCTGGCGAGCCATTGCCACTGATGCGACCTTCGATTGCCAAATTTCGAAGACCTTGATGTCATAGTCCATTTTCTTCACAACATGGTCGAACTCATCTCTCTTCAGCTTGTCTCGCATTTCCACCTGCCAGCATTGTGGAACAAAACAAACTCACAATTATCCTAATGATTGGGGAGAAGATTCAACAGAAAAGGTGTTTTGGTGCAGAGGCCATCATCAAGGCAGCTTCATTGCAACACCGACTAGTAGACCAAAAACTTTGAGGGAGGGAATAAAGCTTGAAATTATTATCTTATCATTGTTTTCGTCATTATTATGTGTTATGCTACTCATCAAACAACGACTACCACGTCAAGAAAAGAGCCCCTGCCTCTTGGGAAGAAGACACCGGCGCACGAAAAAGAGATTCCTCCAGCAAAGCCTTGAAACAAGGCATGTGGGTCGCAATGGCAAAGGATTCGGACTTCTCCAGTAACTGCGCGGCCAGCTCCATGTCAATGCGCTTGCATCCAGAGGACCACTCATCCAGTATCTTCTTCTGGACTGTCTCCATGGTGATGGGATGCTCAGAGCAAAACTCATCTGCTAAGGAAACGAGGCAAGCTGCTTTTTCAGCCAGTAGCTCACAAGCTCTGTCATCCGGCTTCTTCTGGCTGCACTTCTCACAAGACTGGTGCTCCTGCTCCCAGTGAATCCTGAGAACCATAATTCTCAAGGACCTGTCGCTGACTCTCAATCTCTGTTGCCACTTCCTGTTCTTGGCTGGGAAAACGTGTCCTGGGAAGAGACGTTTTGAAGCCAAATTCTCCTCAGTCCAAGCACAATTCTCCCATCCAAGAGTTCCAACATGGTTGAGGATCTCATCCAGCACGTCCTGAACAGCGAGAAAAGGATAGTACACATAAAGAAAAACTTATCTACTATTTTTCCCTGGAGAAGTGACAAAGTTAGGGGTGGTGTCACACAAACACTATAACTTAAAAAAAAATCCAAGTAGTCCTTGGGAGCGCTTTCGAAGAGGAGCTTCAGTGCAGTTTGCTTGCGACCGCGAAGTTGGTGAGCCGCAACAGACTGCTGGTTGTACTTTCGCAGGAAAGTAGTGTAGTCGGTGCCTCCTGAAGCCAACAGACGTCTGACCATGAAGGCAATTTGGATGAGGTTGGCTGCCTTTCTAAGGGATCCTCTCGTGCTCAACTTCAGGTTGCACAAGACCTCATCTTCCTTGCTGTTTTGCCGCATATGCTGAACCCAAATGACTGAGACGGAATCGAATAACTTCGGGCAGAAGCTTTTCAAGTCATCCAAGGAGACCTCTTCTTCAAAGACTGACAAAAGAAGAGCGAAGAGACTGGTAAGTCGAGCACGTCCTTTCAAATATCCCAGGCTAAAAGGCTTGAGTGCTGACTCTTCAGATCCCCAAAGGCTGGGAAGACCAGCTGCCTTCTATTTTCGACAACAAGTTGGCATCTGTCCAAAAGGTGGGCCAAGCAAGTTGCAACCATGTTGCTGTCCTTCTTGGTGTCAGGCGCAAGAATATAATAAACCTCGCAGAGGCCAATTGCCACAGCTCCAGTGAGATGCAAGGCCGGCCTTTGGACATTGGCGAAGGCTGCATTGGCTTTCAAGTTTCTGGGACATCGAAATTTTGCCTGGTCCATCCCGTCCACCAACACCTTGAGGAAGCTAGTCGAGGAGTTCTCCATCTTAAAATTTGAATCCTGCTTTGACAATCGGTTGCCCCTGACATTGACAGATCGGTCCATGTCACATCTGTTGAGGTGCTGCTGCTTCAACTCGTCAATCTCCTGGCGCTCCTTCTTTGAAGTCAGCTGCGAACGCCTCTCATCAAAATCAGCACAAACTTGACATCGTACTCCTTGACCATAACCCTTGAAGCATAAAATCCTTTTCCAGTGTCGATTGAAAGCTTTGGTGAAGGTATCCCGGGACACACGTGGCTCATCCGACTTGTTCAGCTCGTAGACATGCCACAAAGAAGCCAAATTCTCCTGATTGAGGAAACGCTTCGGGACCAATGCCCCCTGGTTGCCAACACCAACAGACATTGAATATAGTGGATGGCTAACATCGTGGACAACTTCATGCACTTGATCTGCATCAGGAAGTTCTTCCACATGGCGATGGCCACCATCTTCCACTGGTGTCGGCTCTGCAAGACCTGTATATAAGTTGAGGAACCAAACATCAGCCTCATCCATGCGAGGCTTCTCCTTGGGCATCCGGGCGCCTTTTTCAGGGAGAGCAGCATGTCCAAGCTTAGCCAATTTCACCATGTCGTCCACTTGTTTGTGGCCTACTGAGTGGCAATACTCCCAAAAGGGCCTGCACACTTTTTGGCCACCCATTTGCCAATCTATGCGAGCAGTCTTTACAGATAAAGCATCCACAAAAGATTTCACCTTTCCAAATAAATTCTGGAGTCGAACCTGCTGATCCTTCAAATTTTCAGCACGTCGATGTTCGATTTCTGCTTCATCAAACTTCAGGTAACATTGCAATCGGCAGCTGCAATGCTTTTGAAGATTTCCAGGCTCAGCATCAGATTGAACGTCAGAGGGAAGACTTACGGATCTTGCTTCAGATGCGTCTTTGTTATCATCTTCAGATTCAACATCAGGAGGCAAGCTTGGTGCATCAGACAGCGTATCTGACATTGCAGCAGAGAGTTCAGTGGAAAGTGCCTAAGGTAGCGGCATTCTCACCATCATGATCATGGTCAGCCTATAAAAACTATCGCAAAAACACTCACACATGAATTTAATTATCTGCTACATCATGTTAAGTTACGTCATGCTTTTTTTTGTCCGCTGACTCGTGTTGAGCTGTCAAACGTCATTTTTTGAAAACGGCTGCAGATTGCACCGAATGGAAAAACGTTTGCACTCGAAACAAACCAAAATGAAATGATCCGTCTCAGAAAATGACCTCTGCATGCAACGTGGTGGCACTACAGCTGGCACTAAAGCGGCATGCCTCTAATTTTTTTCCATCCTCATTTGAAGTCAAAGTCAAACTCAGGGTTATATTCTCCTTCCGGTTCATGAAGCAATCCCAAGATCTTCAGCCGCAAGTTGTCCAGTATGGCCTCGACGTGCTCCATGACTGAAGCCAAAGCTTCGGAACAACGCCAATTTGTCTCCCACTCATCAATGTAGTGTAACGCCAGTCTCAAATCGCTGGCCAAATGCTGCAAGCGAGGCACCGTATACGATTGAGCTGCAATCAAATCTCGAAAGCGTCTCTTGTCACCTTCAGTCTCCCTGAGCACAGCCACTGGAATGTGAGTCGAACTTCCACGGACGATGACGCCACGAAATGTCGCCACAAAAACTTCGGCTCGCATCAGGTCCAGGGTCTCTTGGAAGTTGTCAGTCAACTTGCGCGCCGCAATGCAGCATTCTTTCAACAGTGCCATGCCAAAATCTGCCATGTAAATTTTTTCCTCCTCTGACAGCATAGAAATGGTCTGGAGGAACAGAGGCAACAGGTTCCACTGCTCTGCATGCAGCCACACTTGATGGTAAGCCATTGAACTGATAGCAGCAAGATCGCTATGATATGGATATCGCGGTTTCGAGGTCTCTGGAAAATTAGCTGCGCGAGAACACAGAATGTTTAAAAGCGCTTCAAGCGCTACTATTAATTAATTATAATATAGCGCTCAAGAAGCTGCTACTATTAATTATATATAGCGCAAGATGCTGCTACCTATTATTATTATTATATAGCGAAGAACAGGCGGCTGCAAACCAGTGCAAATCATGCAAAAAGTGATGCTGACACTTCCACGCACAAGAGGCAACATAACTGTGAACAATGATCAATTTCTCAACGGAAGATTCTGAAAGATCAACATTCCTTTCGTTCTCACAAAAAAATGTCACTTCCAGTGAGCCCCACCCTCTCCTCATATTGACAGCCATTTTCTGACATATCATCTGACATTGGCTTTGGCATCTCCTTCTGACATTTAACCCAATCTCCTCAGTGTGAAATATTCTGACGTGGTGCTTGCTTTTCCTTTGGCATCGCAACACTCTAAATTTACAAACCAAGAATCTGAGGTGCCAGTGCTTTGCACAAAACAAACACCTACCTCAAAAAAGTTAACACCTACTTGAAGCCAAAAGTCCTTAGTTGTTCCGCACCAACTGACCTTTCCTTCTCATCATGTTTTGTGCAACAAATTGTCCAGGGATGCGATGCTCCCAAGAATGCAGCAGAGCAGAATCGCCAAGAGAATCCAAGAGGGTATAATAGCAACTATAATATGGTTATGATGGTGCTTCTGGCCTCTTCCTTTCATTGTTTGTTGTTGTAATGAAATGACTCGCCAACGAATGCGTGTCGCAAGTAAGGTGCCTAGTAGGTGGTCACTACAGTCCTTTTTGATATTTGCAGCCATTTTCAGAACAAAAAGGAGAATAAACACAGGATTCACGAACGATAACATGAAACCGATGACTTTTGGCATCAAAAGCACCGCCTATGTTTTTCCTTTTCCTCTCTCTTTCGAGTTTCTTTTTCCTGTCCGGTGTTCCTTTCCTTTTTCCTTTCCTTTTTCTTTTCCTTTTCCTTTCCTGTTTCCTTTGCCTTTTTTTCCCTTGTCCTTTCCTTTTCCTTTTCTTTTCCTTTCCTTTTCCTTTCATTTCCTTTTTCCTTTCCTTTTGCTTTCCTTCTCCGTTCCGTTTCCTCCCCTTTCCTTTCCTCTTTTCTTTCCCTTCCTTTACTCTTCCTTTTCCTTTTCCCTTTTCTCGCTTGCATGAATTCTTTGATTATGTGTGAAGCCAGCGCTTGGGAAAACAAGAAGAGGAAACACATGGTAACGTTTTGAAACACCATTTGAAAGGGGTCTGGGTTTTTAGACAGCCCCAAGTGCAATGCAGGTTTGAGGGCACACTGCAAGGTCTACAAGAGGATCGTGAAACGAAACGTGGCTCTATCAGACTGTTTTGGCGGATAGTTTTTCTGTTGCTGTGATTGTGTTCCTTTTCTGGTCGACTTTTCTGGCCAGTATTATAATATTTCTTGTAGACGGCGTTCAAGTGCTATGTATCGGCCAAACTTCATTGTGCTCTCTGACTTCAGCCTCTTGAAGAGTTCTGCTTTCCAAACGTTTCATCGACCCGTCGAGGATGGGTTTCTTCACTTCTGCAGCCAGGTAGGGAAGGGGCTTTGAGTGCAATTCACCATAATTTACCTGTGTTGGCTGGAGAGCATGGTGGATCAACATGGATCATAAAAATAGGATCAAACAGACAGGCAGCGAGTGACACACTTTCATGTGTCCAGATGGCTTGGAAAGAACAAGTTGCACACTAATGACTAGACATGGCATTGTTGACATTGATGCTATCTCTGGCACCCTGTGTGATAGTGTTCAAGCCAGGCTTAAGACTTACACCACGAGGACTCCTGGGTTACATGTCTCTCAGCCCAGGTTGCAGACTCTTGAGAAGGGCCAAACAGCTGTGGCAGCTGGTGCACAAAGAGCTATGCAACTTGTGGCTTTACAGCAGTTGGCCTCAGGGATTAATCAACAATAGGCAAAAGACATCAGAACGAGGTCAAAATAGAAGTATTAATTTGGATTCTGGTTAGGAAAGTATTTGACAGGAATTGGTGCTTTCTTATCTCATCCAGATGGTGTACCGTACACCCTCACGCTGTGCCGCTTTCGGGCAGCAAAGCCAATGCTGCTGGATCTCTGCCAACAGCTTGACAACCCCAGGATTTGTCCCAGTTCAATGAATGCATAGTTGATTGAAATATCTTGTCGCACCCTGTAGAGAATGGTGCCAATGTCCAATTGTCTTAAAGTGGCCACTGCCTAGTCGTATCAAGCCGTCCCACCACTTCTGAATTTGTTTCTTAAATGTTTTTTGTTGTTCTTAGGTCCTTGGTATCCTTTGATTTATGAAACCTAGCTACTAGTGATTAGAGTCTTGAGCTTCGACAAGTCACCACTAACAGTGGAATGATATGGCAAGAAGATATGTATAGGTATATCATGGTACTAAAGTATATCTAAGGCAATGAAGGCTGCAGAAGCGCAACAGACTATGTCTGATCGACAAGATGAAGTGTGGCTCAGTGTGCAGAGTTTATGCTGGTTGTGGGGCAATGAACATAGGAGAGCCAGCAAAGCTGTTGTGTAGTCTATTATACTTGTCCAGATTCTCTTGGGCTTTTAATCCAGCAGCCGTTCCAAGTCGTTGTGCATCCAGCTCTACCGATGCGAGACGATGCTGTCGTGATGTTTGAGAGCAAAGTCGATACTGTATCAACACATCTACTGATCAATTACTATCAGATGAAATCACATCAAGCTTCCCATAGTCTTTCACTTTGCTGCCGTTTGGTTTAACGTTTGTGTCTGTGTCTCGGGTCAATTCACGCAGAGATGTTTTCAAATGCTCTTCTTGAGGGAATAGACTAATAGACCATGAACAGGCAGCGTACTGTCGATGAACTCCAAAACATCCAGCAGCTGGACAAAGGTACCGCTGCATTTGGAAGGCAGAAAAAAGATAAGACACTAATGACAAACATGAGCTCCACATAACCTACGGGTGGTGTATAGGGTTTGGCCACACGATTGCATTGGTTCATCTGCAGCCCCAACTTGTGTCGCGAAAGGTAGCTGCCGAGGTTTGCCGCTGCGCTCGGGCTGTCGTCAGTTGGTAGCGCGGAGCCTGCTCTGTGCGACCAGGGCACAGGAGCGGGCGGCGCCATGGCTTCACCTGCTTCGCCTGGTTGGGGCGTGGTGTCAGGAGAAGCAGGTGAAGGGGACAGAGGCGATGCACAGAGGAGATCTTCGGCGGCAGGGTAGTCTGATATTGGGACGGTGGACGAGTTCATCCGAGTTCAACCTGGCGCCGAACCTCCTCCTGAAGAACAACCTGGTGATGGCCGTCGGGGTGCTGGAGGTCCTTGGATGGGGCAAGATCCTTGGACTACCCGCCAATGGAGACAAGATCAGTGGCAGTGGGGTGACTGGCAAGGGTTTTGGCAATGGGAGGGACCAAGTTCGAACACCTCACCAGGTTTTGACGGGTGGCAACTATCTCCAGGAGGTCTTGAACATTTTGGACACCTTGGCCGGAGAGAAACAAGCGACGGAGATGAGGAGGACCGTTCAAAAGGCGCTGTTCGAGGGCACTCGGAAGGCAGAGGAGAGCATTAGCCAGTTCGCTTTTGGACGAGAACAAGAGTTCTCCATGGCCGAGCGCTACATGACGATCCCGGAGGAGCTCAAGGGCATCATGTTGGAAGAGCATGCCGGCCTGGGGAAGCAGGGCGCTATGAGCCTTCGAACGTTGACAGGAGGGGCAACCGACTACGCCTTGGTGTCAAGGGCTCTCAAGGTCTTGGACTCTTGGAGGAGGAGAGCATCATGGTGAAGGGCAAGAACAGCCACTTCGTCGGCATTGCAGAGGAGGACGCAGCCGACCGGGAGTCCGAGGTGGAATCTTCTTTGGCCTCTGAGGACGAGAAAGCGATCCTTGCCGAGCTGGACAAGTTGGACTTGGACGAGAACTCGGCATTGGAGGTTTTCGTGTCCTTGGAGAAAGAGAAGAGGACATGGAAGGAGAATAAGAAGTTGAAGTTGGCTCAGAGAAAAGACCGCCGTCATTTCTCTGACAAGAGCTCCAGGCCCTACCCGTACAAATCGCAGCACAAGGGCAAGAGGGGCTTCAATGTGGACGCCATCAAGAAGGGTTCTCGATGCAGCAACTGTGGAGAATGTCAGAAACCCTACAGGTCCAAGGCGGAGAGGCTAGAGCAAGAGCGACAGTCAGGGGTCGGAAAGAAGCCGACGGCTTTCGTGTTCCTGGGAGCCAACGCTACAGGGTCCTCCAGCTCTACGTACATTGGGGGGCCTTCCTACCTTTGCCGTCCAGGTGCGGAAGTCAACTACGAGATGGACATTGACCTGGAGTTGCAGTATGAGAGAAGGTGCAAGAGCAATTGATCGAAGCTGGGTATGTCAAAGACCCTGGCGCATGCCCGGCTAGGTCATGTGAGAAGGGGGTGAAGCCAGAAGGATTCGTGGGCATGGCAATGCCTGACTTTGCTCGTCGTGTCTTTGACCAGTTCAAGGAGAAGGTCAACACCGAAGTCTTCCTTGCCATGCCTCCGGGTCACGCCATCATTGATCCGGGAGCTGGGCAAGATCTCATTGGGAAGCCGGCCTATAGCTGAAGGTGAAGTTGTCCGCAGTGGGCCTTCGCCCCATCCCCATTGACGATGAGCCCTCCAAGGCTTCTGGCATACGGGGCCAGGCCAACACCTTATTCATGGCCATGGTCCCGACGATTCTCGGTGGAGCACCTGGCATTGTGAAGGTTACGGTGGTCCAGGAGGACATCCCTAACTTTTTGAGCATTGGCTTGCTGGAGGCTGCTGGCTCGGTCATCGACACCAAGGAGAACCTGATCCACTTTCGAGAGCACTGCACCAGAGATCGAATGATGCGGCTCAAATCTGGGCACCGAACAGTGGATGTGGCCAAATGGTTTGGTGAAGTTTTTCCTGTCCCGGAGCAGGTCCGTGACCAGTACGGGCTTTGTGAAGGGAAGGGGCTTTCAACATTCGACGCGCCTCCGCAGTGGAAGCATACATGGCTGAGCAGCCGCTTGGGGACGGTATGATGGAAATGAAGGGGGCTCCGTTTCTGGTAAAAGTGCTTGATCAACCCCGAAAGTCAAAGTATGTTCCCTCCCATGACCGGTGTCAAGAGCTCTGTGAATCTAGGGTCATCATGAAAGTGGATGCAGAAGGCAATGTCAAGGTGGAACATGATCGATGGTGCAGTGAGGGAGAGAAGAGAGCAGTGAGTCAGGAGTTCGGACTGGTATTTCTATCGTTTTCTATCTTCATGAGGAAGTCAGGCGTTCCACAAGACTCCACAGTCAGTTGAACTACATCACACTTGGAAGTTCATGTTCGTATTGGCTCAAAGGAGACGCATCCGCATCTTCAGGAATTATCTTCCCACCCCCAATTTGACTCTTGCTGATGTCCCGGCCGGGCTTGGAGAAGAAATGGCTCCGACTGGCCGACCGCATCCTGGAGAAGGAGATCATGGACGAGAAGCAAACGAAGCAATGCCCACATCCCCCGCAATGCATAGTGGGAGGGCGGAATCAGTACGGCAGTTGGGAATTTTGTCTGAGATGACGAACCAAGATCTCGTACACCCCAGCACGACAGCAAGTGGACACCGTGAAGGGCAAGGAGCTCAAGCCGGGCATCCACGGACACCAACTTCAAGGAGACCCTCATGGAGTCGAATCAGCAGCTTCTGACGGGGATGACTGCAGTGCTGTCACAAGCCATCACGCCGATGGTGACAGGACAGCAGGCGCTGATGGAGCTGACCCAGCAGTCTCTGGCGAGTCAAGCAATCATGATGCAGACTCTCCAACAGGGCCAGGGCAGCTTGGGAGAGACCGTGACTCACATAGCCAAACAGATGAGGAGGCTCCAAGACGAAGAAGAGTGGGATCAGGTGCATCACGGGCAACATGCGTGAAGATGGATCTGGTGTCTGCCCCCGCCATGGCGGCACGATGCATGTTCGGCAACATGACCACTAATGCCCGGACGCAAGGCTACATCACTGAGGAGGGCAAGGTGAAGGTAAGGCATTTTTTTATTTTTAGTTTTTTTAGTTTTTAGTTTTTTTTTTCCTCTGTTATACTTGCGTTTTTGCTGGTAAGTAAGGCAATGTTCCCCAAATTCAAGCTGATGACCGCTATTAACTCAATAGCCCAGGATCAGCAATTTCCTGCCTAAACGCTCATTCCTTAACTTCTCCACTTGTGGCAATTAGTTAATTTTTGTTTTGCCTAAAATAGGTAATTCTGCTACCTGTACAAGTACCGCGCCTGATCAAACCTTTGCTCCTTTGAATTTTATATAGGTTGAACTCCAAAATTGCATGACAACTTTCAATCTCCTTTTTAATTTTGCATGCAAGCTTTCAACCCCCCTGGGCATGCATTTGCATGAACATTTTCAACCCACCTGGCAAATTTGGGCCAGAACTTTAATTTACCCCCCCGACTGTGCTGTGCAAACGCTGCGGAAGTTAACTTTCAGGCCTGATCCCAGGTTTGCACGCGAGCTTGCAACCCCTCCCCAGAAATTTGCACTCAAACTTTCAACCGCCCCTCATAAGTTTGCATGCAAACTTTCACACCTGCTACTTCCACTCCCCCCTCGCAAGTTAACATGCAACCTTGCAACCCCCCTTCGGAAGTTCGCATGCAAACTTTCATTGCCAATCTGTCGAATTAGCTGAAAAACCTGAAAAAGGCAGAGAGTCAGTTAAACAACGTTTTTGTCGCTGCGGAGAGTTTTTGGTGGTCTTATCTTTCTCGTTTCTAAGTGAATTTGGGTTGTTTTGCGTACGAAAACTATTTCTGCTACCAGCCGTACTTGAACCTAAATGCCGAGTAACTTGAACTCTAAGTTTGCATGCAAATTTTCGACCCTCCTCGCAAGTTTGCTTGCATACTTCCAACCCACTTGGCAAATTCGCAAGTAAACTTTCAACCCGCGACTGTGCTTTGCAAACGCGCAAATTTGCAAGCAAATCTTCAGTCCTGCTCGCAAGTTTGCGCCCCCCCCCCCGAAAGCTTGCACTCAAACTTTCAACCCCTCCTCGCAAGTTTGCATGCAAACTTTCACAGCTAACGTCTCGAATTACCCGAACATTTTTTTAACAACCAAAGAGCAATTAATTGTATAACAAAGAGCCGTTACCTGACCAAATTTGTCTGTGTCGCCAGTTTCGGAATCAGGTACGGTATAAACTATATATTCGGCTGGAATTGGCCTAACCTGGTCTTTCGGGGTCCGTTTGGCCGGACAGCATTACCCTGTATAGGCTTGAAATCTTGAAGATATCGGACAAGGCCTTCATGATAGTTTTAGAGGGGTCAGTGACATGGAGCAAAGCCAGCTGGACATTTTATGAATGCATGCCCAACGGCTGCTGTCGGAGCGCTTCATCGGCAGTAGCTTCTACCATAATACTGCTTCGTCTTTGCGCCAAATTTGTCTCTGTGTCCATCT